ATTTTACATAAAGTAGAAACTTTCTAGACTAGGAAATGTTGGAGACATCCCGCGTATCCTGCGTCTTTCGTAATACCCAATCAATTTTCATGTGTTTATGTTACGGTTATGTATGTGTCCAACTTGATTATTGGTCAATTTACAAAGTTTTAAAAAAAAAAAGATTTATTTTCTTTTTGGCTAATTTCTTTATTGTTACTACTAAACGTAAAAAAAAAAATCGTATAATTGTATGATTGTATAAAAACCTTTATCTTTTATCTTTATTTATATCATTGTATATATATTCATTCATATAATTACTCATATATAATCCATATAATTGTATAATTATATCCGATAATGAATAAATATTTCATTCTCACAAGTCTCACACACAAGAATGAAGGAAACACAAATCATCGTTTTAATCAATTTAATCTATTGCCGTTCAATTCAAGTTTTTTTTTTAAATTAAAATAATATAATTTATTTTATTATAAAATTTTTATTATAATTTTTATAAAGAGGCAAGGAAAATAGCATGTACAGTAATTTCAGTAATTGATGAAAGGATAAAAAAGCCAACGGGCATAAAAATCAAGAAAAGTAAATCTTAACAAAGGTGCTGCACATCCTATTGTTCTCCATCTTACTACAACATGTGCAGTAAATCAATTCGAGCAAAATTGAGACACCCAACTTGCTAACTCATCTGTTTATATAACAAATGTCTCGTTCAACTATAATATTTAATAATATTTATATAACGTATTTACTTTTTACATTTTTTTTTAATAATTATACGTATTCAAAAATATACAGTATACATCAGATATAGTACAGTATGGCAAAAAAATATACAGTTTATAATTTTATTTATACTAGCGTTAGTAAATAATTAATTATATTTAATAAATAAATTATATTTAGTGTATTTAATGACTATTTAATAACTACTTAAATGACTACTTAAATGACTATAAATTATTTAAATTATTTATTAATATATATTCACATTATACACATTATACGTACACATTATACCAGATACACATTATTCACATTATTCACCATTATACATATCATTATATCAAATACGAGTTTTTTTAAATCGTAATATAGTTTGATGTACAATTTTATCATCATCGCCCTTACGTACGTTACGTACGTACTGTACGTAATGCTGTGCGATTGACAACCTGCGGAATTTATGTGAACGATAATTTTGTGCTCGTGTTACTTTAGAAATGCACTCTTTTGAAAAAATTATAAATTTTTTGTTGCTACATTACTACGCCACCTTTGTCGTTTTTCCTTTTTCATGTGACGCATTGTATATGCGCGTCAATAATTTTGGTTTACTTTTAACTTTGAATATTTAATGAATCTTCTAAAGATGGTGTAAATTCTCGTGAATATATTAATTATGAATTAGTAGAATGAATTAATTTTTTTTATACATTAACAAGCTTTGAAGCATAGGACCCTTGTGTACCTGTACCGTAAAGTAACGGTATCTCCGCCTTCGTGCTATTCGTGCTATTCGTGTTATCTGTGTTATCCGTGTTATCCGTGTTATCCTGTTATCCGTGTTAACAGGGTCAAATGCTTTTTTTTTTTAGCCAACCTTTGTACCTTTGTTTTACTTTTTCGAACTCAACAATTCCGATTCAATTCCGATTGATTCTTAATTTCTTTTATTTTCTTGTTAAGTTTATTTATCGGATTTACTATACATGAACTTGCCCGCGATCGATTCGAAAAAAAGCCCTTGGAAACTCAGTAGCCCTTTTCTTTTTTTTTTATCTATCTTCATTGATCTTTATACATGCGCCTTTAAACATCGATTTAAAATCAAAAAGCCTCGTTCTTTCTATATTCACAATATTATATTTGTAGAGTTGTTTCCGAATTTTGGAAAGTCCCGTTCCTTTTAAGAAGACATCATTGGAAAACCTTAACATTTCTACATCTGCAAAGCGATGCAAGTAAGGTCCTGCGACTTTGTTACGTCCGCGTGGGTTAAATAAAAAAAGGATATCTGAGAAATCTTTTTAAGTTATGCGTGTACCTAAGTGATCACAGGCCTCTACCATTTTTATATAAGCACGCGTATGGTTAACAAGCAAAAGTCATTGGAATATACGTATCTGCGCGTTTTTTAACACTCCTTACTATAAGTGAAACCATGTATGAATACCGTGTGAATGATAAATTTTTAATTTTTTTTTTAAATATCTGTTTAAAAAAATGCGTAATAATGATTGTAAATAACAACACATGATGCATCAATAAAAAAGAACAATATGAAAATCCAAACTCCTTTGTTTCTAAAGTACTAATTTTAAAAACAAAAAGTAACCCCTTTCTCGAAATTGTTTCTTTGAAAAAATAAATAAATATAATTTTTGAAACAAACACGAAAATTTTATAATATTAGTTTAACATTATACTTGACATATCTTAGATCTCCAATTGGTTTAATAGCCCGCCAACTATCACGTTGGATTTGTAGAACCTGACACGAACAAGTCATTTATATCATATTTGTCTAATCTTTATAATCATGATAAAATGATAATCACATTGCTTAATGGCCACAACATTTTTTTGTGTCAGTCAGCATATAGTGACGAAAATAGCACAAAATGTCTCATAATAATCTCGATTCTTTGTAGAAAAAAAAAAAAAAAAAATGAATGAATGAATGAATGAATGGATCGATTAGTTTGATCAACTCAATCCTATTCTTACATGCATGAACTTTTTGAAGGAGAACGTCAAACTAGTTTCAGATCATCGAGAAATGTACCTCTAAAATAATCTTATTTTTAGCATTCGCATCAAAAGACATAGAATAATGCAATTAAACAGATACCCAAACCATAAGAGAATGGGCAAAATTGGTGATACCAGGTATGAAAAATTCTTGATTTGTATATGTATGCGCCTTCAGCCTTTACTGATCCTATTAGGTAAGGATGATTTTTATGAGTACCCGTCCGTTTATATCACTATTCCATTTATTTTATTACTTTATTTCTGCGGTAAATTCGTTTAATTTTTTATCTTTATTTTATTTTCTTTTTTTAATCATCATTATTGAAAAGAAGATTCAAAGAAAAAAGAATAAAACTATAAAATAAATTATTTATAACAAAGTTAGCAAAGCCTAACAAAGACTACAAAGTTTAACAAAGTTCGAAACTCTAAAAGACATCACGCATTCGAAACAATAAAAGTTCACATTGCAAAATTACCATCTATGATCAAATCATACAGATATCGGATAAGTTTCCCGCTGCGTGATTCCCATTATTCTTTCACATAATCATTATTCACAAACATTGTTCCATTCCCAACAATATGACAATATGACATGTAAAAATAAATCCTCCATTATTCTCATTAGTATCACCTTTATTTTCGAAACAGAACCTTCGCAGACCTAAAAATTCTCTTAAATTGTTGCGAACCTTGAAGAAAATCCACCACATACATTTTGCTTGTCGAAAATTTTTTTTATTTATTTTAAAAAAGAAAAATTCCAATAAAGTTCATTTTAGTACCACGAACACTTACCAAAATAATATAAGAAATTCTGCATTCCATTTATGGGTCTATTGATAATTTCTAATAACGATAATAAATTCAAACTTGCATTGGAGAACACTTAGCATACATAATTCCGAAACATGATCATTTACAAATTTGAAACTCTTTATTACAGTAAATATTAGCCGAAATTGAAAATTTTACAAATGGTGAAATTTTGAACATCAAACTTTTTAATATCGAAAGAAAAGTTTTCCCACTACTTTTTTTTTTTTTATTTGAAATTGACATTTCTTTACGTAAAACTACATGGATTTTACATACTGTAGATTTTACATTCTACATATGGATGAACTTTACATATATTACATAATAATTAATATAATTAATCGAAATTTTGATCGAAAATTTATCTCTTATCCCTTAGATACCATACAAAATAAAATTAATTTCTTTTTTACTACCCTCCTCCTCCTCACACGGTTACATGCATTGCTGATATTAAAAAAAACTAACCATATCAAATCATTGTTTTGGTTTTTTCATATCATCTATACGATTTTTAAATTATGGGCGTCCAAAACATGTCCGTTGCCGTCCGATCTTGCAGGAAAAATAATACCGGTATTACTGTATGTACTCCATGTAACTCGTGACAATTTAAAGTCATGAGGTTTATTTTACTACGCCACATCCCTTAAAATTCTTTTTTTGAAATGAACAATGAACTAGTTCAACGAAACCATAAAGAGTTTTTAAAAGCATGTATTAAACATATTAGACGTATTAGACATATTAGACATATTAGACGTATTAGACATATTAGACATATTAGACATATTAGACATATTAGACATATTAGAAACAAATATCCAGTACAAAGACCGGTAAAATAACTATGAGGACATCGTTTGGTAGGTGGTTCATTCTTTCAATCGATTACCCAAATATCAATCACAATACCTGTTTACCTATTTTACACATATCGTTAGGTTTCACTTGATTCATTGAAAAAAAAAAATTTTTTTTTATTACCCCGCATAATATATTTCACATAAAATAAATAGGCCGAATATCATATCATTCTCATTCTTGATCATGCTGGCATACATTTGTTTTATTTATGTTTTGCCACGCGAACATCGAACGAAACAAACAACACCACGTACACAAATGGTATCAGGTTTAAAAAAAAAAATGATTATTCCAAAAATGTATATTTCATACCGCTGAAATTCAAACATTTATATGGTAAATGAATTGTCTTAAAAATTTTTTTGCGCCTATTACTATGTGCATATTTACCCATAAACCCGGCTGAATGCTGTGCATAAACAAAAAAGTATGTTGAGACCTCTTTCTATATGTGGATAATGACTCGGTTGTGACTCAGAGTTAGCCTAAAGGCAAAGTATGCAAAACAATGCGAATGTAATGAAAAAAAAAAATAGATCAAAACATTAATGCGAACTCAACAAAACACTAATGTGAGCCATAATGGTTCTTTTCTTTTTTTTTTTTTGTCAAAGCTTGACAACGCCTGTCATGAGTTTAGGTGCGTGAATGGTCAAGCAACACTTGTGGTGATTTCTTTGAAACGCCAAGGTGTTATCTCTTTCTCTTATCTTAGTGGTTCAAATCATAAGGGTAAACTTTAAAATGTTCGCTTATATCCGATAAATGACAAAAATATTTCGCCTTTCGGTATCTTCGGTATGATTAATACAGTAAATCTATTTATTTATATTTTTTTTCGATTTTTAAACGTTAAATAGCTAGACTGATTTCTATATTTGATCACGTCATTAAAATTATTTTTTATACGATAACGATAGCGATAGCGGTTAATTAACCCTCATCAATCAATCAATCAATCAATCAAATCAATGATCAATCAGTCAATCAGTTCTCAGACCTCTATCATACTGCTTATTTTTACATTCCTCTGACCTCTATCATACTGCTTATTTTACCTATCATATTGATATCTATTTTTTATAAAGAAAATTAAAAAAAAATTTTTTTTATCGCAATACTTTTTAATCCTACCTACAATGACAACGGAAAACTTTGCCTCTTAAAATAGAAATTATTATTTTTTGACATAAAGAATTTGGAAATTGGTATGTACGTACATAGTGTACGTACGTATGTACGCACGCTATGTCCGATTATTTTAGGTATGTATATTGATGATGATTTATGCATGCATGCTCGCTACTTTTTAATTTCATTAGTAAATTTCAAAAAAAACTTGAATCATGTTTTTATTATTATTTACTCAATTTTTTACTTATCTTTTTTAATTTTCATTTTTTATTTTTATTTTTATTTTTTTACTCTTATTTTTGTTACAGATTTTTTTTACTCGTCTTTTTATTCATCTTTTTAAAGTCTTTGTTCGGAATTACTTTATCTCTCCTTATATCTTAATCTCCTTATTGCATTTACAAAATACATTATGCATATACGGAAGAACTCTTTAATTACATAGGCTTTGTGTTGGTCATTTGACATGCGTGCGTTAATGTGTCAGTGTTTATGAAGAAAATGTAACCATCAAACATCATGTACATTAATGCGGTACATACTATGTCAAAAAAGAAAGTTCAAAAAGGTTTGGCCTTATCTTAAAAAAAATTTTTTTTATCAATCTATTGTTTTGCTTCTTTCTTTTGACATGAGCTGTCAATTTCACACGCCTATCCGTTTCATCATGATCGATTACGTCTTAGTGCCCTGTCATTCTTTCTTCTTACCTTTTCCCCCCATCTCATGCTTCTTTCATTGTCTTCGTTGTTACAATCTGCCCTTATATAATGCTGCAACTAATGAATTCTTATAACTATATTGAGCTTTGAGTGCTTTTTTTGAATTCTTTATAACTAAATTAGGATTGATTCAATCCTTAAGGTTCTTTATAAACCCTTTACTTGCCAATGAATAGTTATTATTAAAGAACAAAACATCATGGCCGGCTCTTTGCCTAAATTACCTAAAGTTCAGTTGTTTTTTTTTATATTTATCAATTTAAACTTAGGTACCCGTACGTACGTACTTATGATACTATGTATCTTTTTTGTTATGCACATAAATAGTATGTATATACTTATTTATCGTACACTTTTTTGGTGTCTCAATGAAAATTTATTATCTCACAAACTTGAATGTGTACATATTGCGTTATACAAAATTTTTTTTTGTTGCTCAAATAAATAGTATCAAAATTTCTAACGTAGAAATAATTGGAAAAATGGGAATTTTTCAAAGTTCCTCTACATACTTTCATACACTCCATAATCATATCAAAAAAGTGCTACTTATGATACGATAGTAGAATGACGTAAATGAAAGTAAATTTTCATGAAATTAGAGTTTTTCTTTTAAAATATTTATTTTTTACGTATTAAAGTTTTTTGTTTATTTTTAGAACAATATAATGTAAACAAATCATTATTCTTATCTTCAAGTTTCAGGTTTTTTTTGTTTTTTTTCAAACTTTGGTGTAGTACGACTAGTAAATTTTACGTCTTAGCAAGAGAATTGGTAAAAGAAATCGAAATGTAGCTTTGTCTGATTGTCCCGGTAATTTTTACTATATAATTTTTTTTACTCCTATGATACGTATCAAAAAAAAAATGATTACTTTAAATGGTTCTTTCAATAATCGTATTTTGTAATTGGTAATAAAAATTATAAATCGAACTTTCTCTGTTAATCTTATTCTACTTTTGGTTTTTTTAGGCAATTTTTGATTGTAAGGTATATTATTACAAATCTGATCATTACGTAGCTCTTTTCCTTTCTGTTTACAATTTTGGCAAAGGTTTATCGGTTCTTTCTATTTCTCTTTTAATTGCTATTTTGCGTATTGGTATTTTTATTTATATTCTATAGTACTGTAAATTGCGATCCACCCAAATAGTAGATCCATCATGAATTGGACCCAGGCGCAAATCACAAAATCTATATTAATAAAATGTGGGTTTTTTTTTCAAATATCTGGGCTGCCTATTATAAGTGCTGATCTTTAAAATTTCCTCTCTAATGATATAATCGGCCGCATACTAGACCTGGGACCTACTATATGTTTTAAAATTGGTGGAATGTATCAGACCCGGATCTTCTACACGGCAGCTGAAAATATGTATAACTTTTTCGAGTCAGAATGAAACCTGTGCCGAATTTTAGTAAAACTCACTTTTGATCATTGGGTTAGGGTGAAATCCGCGTTATTTCACCCTCATATAATCTGCATAGTGGATTTAACCGAAATTTAGCGCAAGTTTCACATACCCTGTCGTATTATAAAAAAAAAAAAAGTATATAAAATTATTTTAAAAATAAATTTTATTTGAAACAAATTAAATATTAAATATTAATTAGCTAAAATTAAAAGCTTTTTTAAAAATTAAAATTACAATTAAAAATAAGTAATTAATTTAATTAGAGTTGACATTGGGCATATTAAAATATATAATTTAGATTTTTAATTATTTTATAGCTTTTTTTTAAATAATTAATACTAAAAAAGCTTTACTAATATACACCATATTGTAGATGTTTAACACTATAGATGCTATATCTTAAAAATATATCAAGTATTTGCAATAAGAATTAGAAATATTAAATAAAACATGTTTAGAATTACCAAAAACTTTATATTAACTAAAATTTAGAATATTATAACTAATTACTAGATAGACAATTTTTACAATTTTATTTTATATAATTTAACTTTTCTTCTTAAAAGCCCTATAGTCTAGAGGTTTTTTCAACTATTTTAGCTAAGAATAGATTGAGAATAACTGCCCTAACCTCTACTCCTTTTTGCAAATATATTAATTTGTACTGTTGTACTTAATTATATATTTTTTAAGAAAATTACTACATATCACTAGTAGTGATTATCACCAGTCCTAAAATTTATTAGGGTTAGGGTTAGAATTAGAGAATTATTTTTTTTTATATAATATAATATAAAGCTAATATAAGGTTTCAATTTTAGTTTTCGTGAGATGTTTGGGGGTTTTAAATATTTTTACTCAGAGTACCCGATCCCGTTTATTTAGTATGTTTTTGAAATATAGCAATACTGGTAATAATTACCAGTGGTGATAAATAGCAAACCTCATTTTTAAATAAAAAAAATAGAGAAAAAACCTTTCTTAAAAATAAAATAAAATAAAATATATATTATACCTAATTTTTACTTTATTTTGTAACTATATTTTAATTTTAAATTTTAGCAAAATATATTAATATCAACAATATTATAGATATATAATATAATTTAGTATTTGCTAAAAAAACTTTTTTAACTTTTTATATAATTTTTATATATAGTTGATCTTTTATATAGTCACTTTCTATACAATTACATTATATATAATCACATTTTATTTAGACCAACTATGCTTTAATTTATAAGAAAAAAACCTTCATATAAACACAACTACTTTAAAAGCATATTTTTAAAAAAATTTACTATGTACTCAACTGTGTGATTGTATGAGAGGACGACTGTACTAGTTTAAAATTATTAGCTATTAAAAAGTTTTTTTAAATACTTTAAATATAATTAGATTTTTTTATAGTTATTTTTTTATACTATCTGCTATAGTTACAAAATCAAAAATTACAGTTTTATTTATTTTTTTTTATTAAAGTAAACACTTAGACCCCTGGCACATAGCTTTATTCAGATAGTTACGATATTACAATGAATTTACGAGGATACAACTAGTCTCATATATATCTTTTGAGTACCTAATTAAGTAGTTTGCAACTAAGCTATTTTTAACCTAGAGTTCTACACTAGCTATCATATCTATAACCCAACTAGAAAGTTACTTGTTTAAATCTATCTTTGTAACATGCTCTACCCTAACACTCTTCAAGATTAGCAATGCTGTGAAATAATTCTAAAACTTTAGCCACATGAGTATTTATTCTTGTAGTAAACCTAACAGAACAGTACATATCCTATACATATGCTCATCTGCTTGTTTAGTAACTTCTTCCTAACTAGTATATGTTATACTGCTGCTATCAGGTTTATGTCTCAAGCTATTTTTTTGGATACTGCTATAGCCTAATCCATATCTCAAGCCACAACCTTCCTAATTAGTCACCTTTTACATACTCCCTGCTCTTGCAAGATTTACAACAACCCTAGTAACCACATTTCAACTTTCTTTTTTCCTAGATTTTTTATTGGTTTCTCTCTTACTTCCAGCTAGCAACTTAGAAGAGTTGGTCTGCCCAGGTATTAGGTACCTTACGATCTCTCTCTCCTTGATACATGCTTCTAGAATACAAGTCCTTTTTCTCTAGTAGTAAGCTAGCAGTTTGGCTAGTATGTCCACCTACTTAAGAACCTGGTTACTCAGTTCTCCAATTTCAGTCTCTAGTTTCAAATTTGGTCTTCCTATAGCACCATTAAAGGTCACTGCTACTCTCAACTCAAGACTTCCCAAACAGGTTTTAATCATCACAGTTTCTTGGCTTTTTATGTATCGAAGCTTCTATATAAACATGGTGTTACCAAGATTACAGGTTCTGGGACCCAACTGATCGACTATAACTATCACTATATTATAGGCTTATTTTTTGAAAATGTCATCTGTAGGATTTGAACTTTAGACCTGCTGTCTGGGGGTGTGACAACTCTACTACTTTACTAAGTTACTATATAGTGGGGTACTATAGCATTATAGATACTTTTTAAAAACTTGTACAAAGCTAAATATATAAGGTATTAAGCTAAAAATTAAATTATAAATTCTTTGAATCTATATTTTTTAAATAAAAAAAAGTTTAAAAAAATTTATACAACAGATTTTAAAATAA